CATAAATGCAGGCTTTGGGTGAATACGCACACACATGCTCAGAGGCACAATTACACACTTATAGTCAAGGCAAATATTCTGGCAGAAGTCAGACTGACCAGGTTGGATGATCCAAAAATATCAGCAGAGCTTTTTTCCTTTTTTTTTTGTAGAATCAGTTGAAATGTCAGACTGGCGATTGAAATGTCATATAGAGTGAGAATACCTAAGAGAGCAGGATCTCTCCCCTCTGCAAACACACTGACATTAACACGATTTACACAAACATGCTTTAATGGCAAAAGGGTCTGACCCTCAAAGGCATCATGATGCCTACAGGATGTCTTTAACATAGGGAAACGAGAAGACATGCACAACTGAACTAGCCACATTTAGACAAATTAACCACCACACACACACATGCAAATTCACACACATACATAAACCACAGAGAAAGATGAGCTTATCAATTTCATTTCCACCTGGAGGGATTAAACCTGCAGAAGGTCTTTCTGCATCAAACATTCTTATAGAAGCAGCCGCTCCTGTACAGACAGACACATACCCAAAGACAAATCTTTTGTATAGTTTGCATTACCTGAAATCCATGGCAGGGTACAAAACCAATAAATGCTAATCGAAAACCAATAAATGCTAATTGAAAATTAGAGATGACACAGACAAACAGAACCGTAGATAGACAGAGCGATACAGTAAATAAGGACAGATAAAATGATAGCTATAACGACAGAATGATAGATAAATAGATATTAGGACAGATAGAATGATAAAAAGAAATACATGCATACATGCACAGATAAATACATATAGAGGAACGGACAGATGGATGAATAGACAGGTGCATAGATAAATAGACAGGTAGATGGAGAGAGGATAGTCTTTACTTTTGTATTGAATATAGTCATTACTATATCTCAGGCACCCAGGTGAGTCTAGTATAACTTCAACAGAATAATTGAATTACAAATCAACCAAGCTGTGCCAAGCAGCGAGGGAACATGCCAATGTGATAGAGGGAGGAAAATAGAAAATAAAGCCAAAAATTAAAGCATATGTGAGGTATTGTGGGGAGAGACATAAATAAACAGAGGCAAATCCTGAACAGAGGCTCAGATGGAGGACGGGAGAGAGAAAGAGAGAGAGAGAGAGAGAGAGAGAGAG